TATATATATATATATGGACGTTTTATAGGAGAGATTTTTTTTCATATTTAAAAATCATGATTTATGAGAATCACAAATCTCGAAAATCATGATTCGTGAGAATAGTTAAAATTTGTTTGATTACTCATAAAAAGTTCTTGGGAATATTCATACAGGATTTTCGAGAATTAAATATTTTCATATTTGGTTACAATAGTATATTTCTATGTGTATAAGTATTTTTTACAAAATATCCTTTATTAAAATAATTTAATTAGATATATTTATTTACTTAAATCTTATTACAAATATGACATTAAATTATATTAAAAAGTTAAAAATTTATATAGTTAAAATTATTTAAACATAGAAAGATAAAAATATATTATTTTATTTCATTCAAATTAAAAAATTAAAAAAAAGTGCTAACAAATATCATTAAATTGTAGAAACAAATCAAATTTAATAATATTATTAAAATATATAAGGTTAATAAATAATGAGATACAAGAAAGAGAGAGAAATGGGGATATGGGAGGGAGTGAGAGAGAGAGAGAGAGAGAGAGAGGAAGAGAGGGGGAGTGATAGTGATAGAGAAAGAGAGGGAGAAAAAGAAATAGAAGGAGATCAGGGAGAGTGAAAGTGTGAGAGAGGGAGAGGGAGAAAGGAAGAGACTAGAGGGAGAAAGAGAAAGAGAAATAGAAGGAGAGAAAAAGAGAGGGAGAGAGAGAGAGAGAGAGAGAGAGGAAGAGAGGGGGAGTGAGAGTGACAGAGAGAAAAGGGGGAGAAAGAGAAATAGAAGGAGAGAAAGAGAGCGGAAGAGAGGTATTATGCTTGTTTTTTTTAAACATTTTTAGTATCTTAGTTTTAGTCATTCTTAGAATGGTGGATTTAAGTCTAACTCAACCCTACAAAACCAACTTGTAAGGTGAGGGTTGTTCTTCACTTATATACTATTTAATTGTTTAATCTCTAGTCATTGTGGGACTTGAATTTTTCCCAATAGTCATTAATAACCATACTCTTTCTTTTATTATTAATAGTAGTAAAATATGGATTGGTAACAACATTGTACTCTCTTTTTGTGATTGGTAAAGTTTCCATTGTATTTAAATAACCCTTCATACTATAAAAAAATAATGTCAACATTCATGATCGTAACATTAAAAATTAAAAAAATTTACTCATTCAATTCAAAGTTCTCAGAATGGGTTATATAAAGCATCAACAATCCAACATAATTCTTAATTCAGTAACAACAACAATCAATAAAGCAATAACAAACCAAAATTTAGTTAACAATTCTCAATCCACACAACATAAGCCATAAAGAAAATAAAATAAAATAAAATACATGGTATTCGGTAAGAGTTGGAACCAAGGGACAACACCAACAAGTAATAAAGTAAGAGTTGACAAGTCACGGGGTCAAATCATCAAAGGCGTAAAGGAGGACAAAACTCTCACAACAGCTAACCCTTACTTAAGTTTGTAACCACAACTTTGTAAGTGAATACAAAATAGTAAAAGGTTATTACTATTATTATATTTTATTTTATTCTATGATTTTATAAAACATTACAGATTTATAGTAGTTTAAATTATTTCACTTATTAGTTTAACGAGTTAATTCATAAGCCTACAAGCTAGTTAGACTTAAGGCTATTTGAATGGTGAACATAACAGGTGAAGTTAAAATACACTATTTCCATTTAGGTCATCTTTTTCAAAACTTAACCTAATCATATTTGTAGACTAATTAGATCGGATCACAAAATCAAACTTAAATTGAGAGCTCCAAATGGACTAGGTGAAAGAAAAATGGGAAAAAGTGATTTGAAAAAGGATATATCAAATTTGCTAAGTTTGGATAAAGGAAAATAGGAAGAATAATAATGAAAAAGATTCATGATAACAGGAAATGGTACGAATTTATGCAAAGTGTTGAGCATATAATGGAAAAATTATGTTTGTTATCATTTCTAATAATTTAATGTCAATTATTATAATCGAAAATGATTTTTTTTTGGAACATTTAAAAATTATCAAAAGACGATCCTCTAAACTTAGAGTTTTAATATTAACAAACAAAGCATTTTTATATAAAAGAAATGTCTACAAAAATGTCTTTAAAACATATTTTTGAAAGATTTACCGGATGAAGTGTAAGACACAAATCGTCTATAAGATGCTTGTTGATCAAACGAAGTATACAGTGTGTCTCATATACATAAAATATTAACCATTAATTAAGACTAATGATAAAGTATGCTTTAAATGTTTCATTCCTTAATAAATCAAATCAAAAGACCATCTCAAAACTCACAAATCTGTTAAAAAGCAAAATCATTCTTTTCGTTAGAACCAAATCCTTAAAATCATGAAGAAAAGTAGATAAAGTCATTGCAATAGCTGCTCTACACTAACATTGCTTCTACAAACTTCGTTTGGTATGGAAAGTTGATAAGTAGTCTCCTTGATCAAACAAGAGATACTATTTGGTAAAATGCATTTAATACTTGTGTTAAATGCGCCAAATAGTTACTTGTCACCAAAAGGAAGACGAAGCAAATTTGTGAGTTGAACCCAAAGTGTTGTTACGATTATCTTCTTCAAAGCTACTATACAAGAAGTTCTGAAGATCAAGACAATAAGAATCTTTTCATTGAAATACAAGGACATTTACAAACACATCTCTTTTGTATAGCTTTTGTCTTGTAGAAAAATCTTTGTATCAAAATGTTGTTGTACTAACATCTTAGAGAGATAATCGTAACAACCTTGTACTACCTTGATAACTATTGTCATAAGGTAGAGCCTGAAAAGGCTTGACTGTAATAGAATTCTTAAATAATGGCTTGAAAAAACCAATCAAATAACACTTGTTGAGAGCCAGAAGTGGCTTGGAAAAGAATACGTGTAACTTTGAAAAAGTTCGTAGAATTTAATCTGATTGGATTGAAAATTGGATGTAGTCTCTGTGTTTGAAACGAACCAGTATAAAAATGTTCTTTTGATTTCTCTTTCAGAACTTCGTCTATTGCAGATAATACTTCACTCTCTTACAAAAAGTGTGAGTTTTTGATATTCAATATTCAACCTCTTTCTAGCAATTATCTTTTCTTCATAGTTTAACACCACATTATAATCCAAAACTTGAAGGCATTAGGTAGGTGAGTCCTTTTCATTAATATACTACTCAACATGCCCAACTTCAATCAATATGGGGCTCAACTTCACACTTGAACTCTAACATTCCCCCTTAAGTATGAGTCTCTTCCACATGGTCGTGCTCCCTTCTCAGTTAAAGTTGGGTATGTGTTTGAGCATGTGGAAGATACTCACACTTGAAGGTGAGTGTTGGAGTTCAAGTGTGAAGTTAAATCTCACATTGGTTAAAGTTGGACATATTGAATAATATATATATAAGAAGGATCGACCTATCTAATGCCTTAAGGTTTTGGGTTATAATGTGGTATCAAGCTTACTTGTGTGATCTACTCACTACTCATTAGAGTATTTGTGAGACCCGGTTTCTTTTTTTCCTTTTTCCTTTCCCCGAACCCTCAACTCTCACTCTCATTTGCTCTAACTCTCAATTCTTCTCTTCTCACTCTTGAACTGTGGTTCTGGTGGCTGAAGGTGCTGATTGAAGGTTGGAATTCTTGTTGAACCCTTGCGGAGCTCCTTTCATCTTCTTATCCAATCACTCTTCTCCTCCGTCATTGGTCTTCCAATTCCGGGAGCTCGGAATCTTCACCCGAGGTAAGGGAAGGTTGGTTTCTTGTTGTGGTTTGGCTGAAATGAGTCTAAGAACTCATGTGATTGATTTTGATTTCGAATTTTGGGTTGTTTGGGTGTGGCATTTGAGTTTTGGAGACTTTAGGGGTTCTTGGGAAATTCTTGGTTTCCTTTGATTTTGTGGATGCATGTATAAAAAGATGTTGTCTTTGAGCTCTTGGGTGGAAATGTAGTACTTTGATTGGATTGCATGTGCTGGAAAGTGAGTTTTGCAAGTGTTTGGAAAAATTTTCGAACTTGGTAAGGTTTCAGCTGAGCTTCGCGCTGAGCGCTGTTCATCGCGCTGGGCGCGTGGCAACCAAGGGACCTCATTTAGCCAAGCTCGCTAAGCGCATTGATGAGTGCGCTGGGCGCGCTTGAAAATGTGGGTCTCTGGTTGCCCTCGCTGGGCGCGACTTGGACCGCGCTAGGCGCGATACCCGTTGTGACTTACTTTTGGGCTCTTGAGGCTGCGCTGAGCACGACCCTTGTCGCGCTGGGCGTGAGACTCCTTAGGAGTCTCTGCCTTGTGGGCGCTGGGCGCAATTCAGAATTGCGCTGGGCGCGAGACCTAAGGGAGGTCTCTGCCTTCCCCGCGCTAAGCGCCGGGTTAGGTACGCCAGGCGCGTGAGACTCCTTGGAGTCTCTGCCTGGCCTGCGCTGGGCGCAATTGGCATTGAGCCAAGCGCGGGAGAGCCTTGTGCTCTCTGGCTGAGTCCCGCCGAGCGCGAGCATGCTTGCGCTGGGCTCGCTAGCCCCCTGGGGCTCTCTGGTTGTACTGCACTGGGCGCAACTTCGAGGGCGCTGGGCGCAGAGAGGAGATATTATCTGTATTGAATTATGTTGTTCTATGTTGAGTTGAGTTGAAGTGGATGATTATACGTGATAACTAGTAGATAATGTTGGTTGATTTATGTTGAGTAGCAAGGTTGTGTTGTGTTGCAAGTTGATGTTGAATGGTATAGTTGTGCAGTGTTGTTTATTGACTAAGTTGTTTAGGCCTTAAGGGCTGAGTTGTTGTAGGCCTTAAGGGCTGAGTTGTTGTAGGCCTTAACGACTGAGTTGTTGTAGGCCAAAACGGTTGAGTTGTTGTAGGAGATCTCTAAGGCGATACGCGTGACGACGCATTAATATCTAATTGCTGGTTGGTTGTATAAATTGATGGATAGTAGAATGTTGTTGTGTTGACGGTTGAAGTTGTTCTAATTACTTGAATTTTGCTATACGTTGTTCTTTTTATACTAGCTTACCCTTTTCTGTTTCCTTGTGGTTGGACTGCTATGATCGTATTATGTACGGGAGCAGAACAGGAATAGGTGTTTTGGTTCGTGGTGAGTCGGTAGCTGGTAGGCGGAGCTGGCCCTATTTTTTTTTATGTCTTGTTGTAGTAGCTACTAGATGTAGCAATTGACGATGTATTTCATTTTGATTGGATGTTTTTGATACACTCTAACTCTAGTCGGATTGAGGCTTTGTATATTTTTATATTCTAGACCCTATAATTATATACTTGCTCTTTCTGCCTAGTGTTTCCGGTGTTCAGTACGTTGTGTAGGACCTGTCGGGTCGTTACACTTTAGTGGTATCAGAGCAGTTCGAGTCTAGTGGACACTCTTTGGGGGTGGCTCCTTTAGGCTTCTGTTGTGTTGAACTCTGAGTTGAAATGTCTTGCTGTGTTGTTTGCTGTGTTGGTTGTTGTGGTGTTTGTTGTATTGTTGAATTGTTGTTTGGTTTGGATATTGTTTGCTAAAGGTGTTGTTGCTTTTGTAGACAATGTCTAGAGCCAACGAACAGATAGCCCGGGCCATGAAGATGATGGCCATGGTTATGCAACAGCAAAATGCCTATTTTGCTAGGATGGAGGCGGAGAGAGCTGTAGCTGGTGCAGCAAGGCCCACTGGGTCACAAGAGAGCCGGGACCTGGCTGAGTTCTGGAAGTGCCATCCTCCTCAGTTCAAGGGGGAGGCAGATCCAGAGGTAGCTGACCACTGGATTTGCGAGCTTGAGAAGATCTTCACCGTGCTAGGATGTTCTCAAGAGAGGAGGCTAGCATACGCGGTATACATTCTTGTTGGAGAAGCCGAGCATTGGTGGAGGGGTACCCATCATATGCTGACTGCCAGAGGGGTGGTTGTGGACTGGGAGTGCTTCAGAAGGATGTTCTTGGAGAAGTATTTCCCTGAGAGTGTGAGACATGCCAAGGAAGCTGAGTTCATGCGCTTACACCAAGGAGGGATGACCGTTTCTGAATATGCGATGAAATTCGAGCACCTAGCTCGTTTTTATTCGTAAGGCATCGCCGAGGCTTGGAAGTGTCGAAAGTTTGCAGAAGGATTGAAATATGATCTGAGGAGAGTGGTGGTGCCTATGTCCATCATTGAATTTCCAGCCTTGGTGGAGAAGGCGAAGGTGGTTGAGCGGTTGGAAGGTGGTAACCGCGGGGTGAAGACTGTTGAGGGGCCATCCAGGTCCAAGAAAGGAGGGAACCAGAGGAAGCCATATGATAGGCCCCAACCACATCAAGGGGGTCCTTTCATCAGGCAACCTGCTGGTGCTGCTGGTGGAGGAGGACAGGGTGGAGGTGCTGCCCTGAGATGTTACAGGTGTGGTGGGTCCCATAAGATCAGGGATTGCCCCCACACAGAGAACCAATGTTTCAGGTGCCAGCAGATGGGCCATGTGTCTTTCAACTGCCCCAACGGAAACAGACCAGAGAGCAATACACGGAGGAGTGATGCTTAAAGAGGAGATGCTCAGAGGGGTGACGGACCCACTGCTGCTGGTAGGGTCTTTGCTTTGACAGGTGCTGAGGCTTCAACTTCTTCTGATCTTGTGAAGGGGAAGGGTAGAGCTGCTGGTAAGGATGTGGTGTTTTTGTTTGATTCTGGAGCTTCCCACTCCTTTATCTCTTATACTTGTGTTGCTATGCTGGGTATACCTGTGTGTGATCTGGGGTTGAGACTACTAGTGTTGACGCCCGCGTCTACTTCCGTAGTTGCTTCTGAGTTGTGTGTTGGTTTCCCTATTGATGTGAATGGGAAGAGGTATAAGGTAAACTTGATTTGTTTGCCTTTAGTTGATATTGACATAATCTTAGGGATGGATTGGTTATCTGCCAATCGTATCCTTATAGATTGTGCCAATAGGCGGTTGATCTTTCCTCAGGAGGAGGATGAGTTGTTGATTTCAGCTAGCCAAGCTGAATCACTGTTGAGAGATAGGGCAGAGTGTTGTCTTCTGCTTGCGGCGTTGAGTGTTGAGACCGAGCGGGCTATTTCTGAAATTGAGGTGGTGCGGGATTTTGCTGAGGTGTTCCCGGATGAAGTACCTGGGTTGCCTCCTACTAGGGAGATGGAGTTTAGCATTGACTTGGTTCCAGGAGAGAGGCCAGTGTCGGTGGCTCCCTATAGGATGGCTCCTGCTGAGTTGGTTGAGTTGAAGGGTCAGTTGGAAGACCTATTGGGGAAGCAGTTGGTGGGGCCGAGTGTTTCGTCGTGGGGTGCTCCTGGGTTGTTGGTGAAGAAGAAGGATGGAGGTAGTCGACTTTGTGTAGATTACCGGCAGTTGAATAAGTTGACCATTAAGAACAAATATCCACTGTCACGGATAAATGATTTAATGGATCAGCTTAAGGGAGCATCCGTTTTCTCGAAGATTGACCTAAGGTCGGGCTACCACCAGATCAGGGTGAAGGAGGGTGACATATCGAAGACTGCTTTTAGGACTAGGTATGGTCACTATGAGTATGTCGTGATGCTGTTTGGTGTGACCAACGCCCTTGCAGTATTCATGGATTACATGAACAGGATCTTCCGGTCGTTCTTGGATAAATTTGTGGTGGTATTCATTGACGATATCTTAATTTATTCAAGGACCCGGGAAGAACATGGAGAGCACTTGAGGTCGGTGCTGGAGATTTTGAAGGCGAAGCAGTTGTATGCCAAGCTTTCTAAATGTGAGTTTTGGTTGGATGAGGTGAAGTTCTCGGGCCACGTGATTTCAGCTGAGGGGATTGCTATTGATCCGGCTAAGGTGGAGTCGGTGTTGCAATGGGAGCACCCGAGGACTGTCACTGATATACGGAGTTTCGTGGGTCTGGAGGTGAAATCCAATCCAAAGCATCTCATATATGAGTTTATCTAATACTTATTTGCAAATTTTTCACTTGTTTTAAGTTTTATTAATTTTAACTGAGTTTAAAGAATCAAACGTTGAACATGTGTGAATATGTTATGTATATTTATTTTTTTTCTTTTCTAAATTAATTGAGAATCAATCAATCAACCTAGTCCCTGAGGAGACGACATTACTCATCACTGTTACAAGTTGTCTCTAGTACGCTTGCCAAGGGATCAACAATTAGTTGAGGTGTTTGCATATAATGTATGTTGTGGTATATTCATATGCATTGATGAATGTCTTGGCTGATATAGTATGGATGAGATACATGTATGTTTTGCTATGATGTTGTATGTTATAAAATCGTTTTCTATACTTGCATGTTTTTTGAACTCTAGCTTACATTTTTGTTTCCATTGTGGTTTGAACTATAATAAGCATACATTGTAAGGAAGTAGATCACAACTAGGCTTTAGAAGCGGTTGCTAGCAGGTGGTGTGATCTTTTTCTAATGTCGGTGCGACTATGGTAGCTTGTATAGTTGTACTCGATCGACACTAGGATATACCATTTATTTTGGGATTATTACATATAAGCTTATATAACTTCACTATATTAGTTTATATGTTTAACATTATAGTTATGTTATACATGTATACATGTACATATTCCTTCTATGAATTGGTATATCACTAGTAATTTAGTTTCACTGCTAGTAGTAGTGATTTTGTATAGTGTAGTGGTCATTACGAGATGTTACAATACCTATGACTAGTGACAGATCTAGAAACTTTAGATAATGTGGGCAATACTTATTCATATATTTGTAATATTAAAAATTTTACATATAACATTTAAAAGTATAAATATACATATATAAATATATAATAATTATTTTTTACAAGTTTTTATATCTATGATTACGATTAAGGATGAAAATAAACTAAGTCAGACTATGTTATATTATAATTTAATAAATTTGAACCTAACTTTCTTTAAAAATACATATCTTAAATATGACTTATTTATGTGTCATAGACATTTTTTAAATGTTTGGTTAGAACTATAATCTTAAAAACCTACTTTATAATAATTTAACACTAATAAAAACATAAAAATAAATATGTTAAATTTTATAAAAAAAATCAAGTTTAATTTATTTATGATACAAACATGTTTTTAATATTTGATATAAAATTTTAAAATGAGAATTTATTTTAAAACATATTTTATAATAAAAATTCTAAACATAATATAAATCTTCCAATCTTTCATATTTTGATTTTTTTAATCAATGTATATAATCTTATAATCTTTACTATTTTGACATTTTTAATCAATGTATACAATAAATAAAAAATATAAAAGGTATGGAGAGACATCCCACCGACGTCAAGTTTTCAATAGCGAGCAGAATGCTCAAGAGTTAGGGGCCGACCTTGACTTGGTTGACGAGATTAGAAATGAAGCTCAAATCCACGAAGAAACCTACAAGCTCCAAGCTTCCCGAAGGTACAACACACGAGTGCGACCTCGCTCTTTCCGAGTTGGTGACTTGGTATGGCGATTACTAGGCGAAGCACGGAAAGACACGTCAGATGGGAAGCTTGCGCCCACTTGGGGTGGCCCATTCCGAGTTACAGAAGACTTAGAAAATGGAGCGTATAGACTGGAAGAACTCAGCGAGAAACCTATACCGCGAACTTGGAATGCTACGCATCTCAAGTTTTATTTCAGTTAAACTTTGTACGAATAAGCTGTGCACTCTTTTCCCACCTCGGTCTTTTGTCCCAAGAAACAGAAAAATGGGTTTTGGCTGAGAGAGTTTTTAACGAGGCACATATTTTCATCAATAAAGAGTTGGATGATGTGCCAGTGAAGGAGAACCTGACCTTTGAGAAGTTACCTGTAGCTGTGATTGACCATAAGCTGAAGGAGTTGAAGGGCAAGTCCATTGCTCTGGTGAAGGTGTTGTGGGATGCGACTAGTGGTGAGGCTACTTGGGAGGTGGAGCAGCAGTGTAGGGAGCGGTATCCGTTTCTATTTCCAAGTAAGTTTGTTTTCCGGGACGAAAACTCTTGTTGTTGGGGAGGTTGTGAGACCCAGTTTCTTTTTTTTCCTTTTTCCTTTCCCCGAACCCTCAACTCTCACTCTCATTTGCTCTAACTCTCAATTCTTCTCTTCTCACTCTTGAACTGTGGTTTTGGTGGCTGAAGGGGCTGATTGAAGGTTGGAATTCTTGTTGAACCCTTGCGGAGCTCCTTTCATCTTCTTCTCCAATCCCTCTTCTCCTCCGTTCTTCGTCTTCCACTTCCCGGAGCTCGGAATCTTCACCCGAGGTAAGGGAAGTTAGTTTTCTTTTTGTGGTTTGGCTGAAATGAGTCTAAGAACTCATGTGATTGATTTTGATTTCAAATTTTGGGCTGTTTGGGTGTGGCATTTGAGTTTTGGAGACTTTAGGGGTTTTTGGGAAATTCTTGGTTTCCTTTGATTTTGTGGATGCATGTATAAAAAGATGTTGTCTTTGAGCTCTTGGGTGGAAATGTAGTACTTTGATTGGATTGCATGTGCTGGAAAGTGAGTTTTGCAGGTGTTTGGAAAAATTTTCGAACTTGGTAAGGTTTCAGCTGAGCTTCGCGCTGGGCGCGTGGCCACCAAGGGACCTCATTTAGCCAAGCTCGCTGAGCTCATTGATGACTGCGCTGGGCGCGCTTGAAAATGTGGGTCTCTGGTTGGCCCTCGTTGGGCGCGACTTGGACCGCGCTAGGCGCAATACCCGTTATGACTTACTTTTGGGCTCTTGAGGCTGCGCTGAGCACGACCCTTGTCGCGTTGGGCGTGAGACTCCTTAGGAGTCTCTGCCTTGTGGGCGCTGGGCGCAATTCCGAATTGCGCTGGGCGCGAGACCTAAGGGAGGTCTCTGCCTTCCCTACGCTGAGCGCCGGGTTAGGTACGCCGGGCGCGTGAGACTCCTTGGAGTCTCTTCCTGGCCTGCGCTGGGCGCAATTGGTATTGCGCCAAGCGCGGGAGAGCCTTGTGCTCTCTGGCTGAGTCCCGCCGAGCGCGAGCATGCTTGCGCTGGGCTCGCTGGCCCCTTGGGGCTCTCTGATTGTACTGCGCTGGGCGCAACTTTGAGGGCGCCGGGCGCAGAGAGGAGATATTATCTGTATTGAATTATGTTGTTCTATGTTGAGTTGAGTTGAAGTGGAAGATTATACGTGATAACTAGTAGATAATGTTGGTTGATTTATGTTGAGTAGCAAGGTTGGGTTGTGTTGCAAGTTGATGTTGAATGGTATAGTTGTGCAGTGTTGTTTATTGACTGAGTTGTTGTAGGTCTTAAGGGTTGAGTTGTTGTAGGCCTTAAGGGCTGAGTTGTTGTAGGTCTTAACGGCTGAGTTGTTATAGGCCAAAACGGCTGAGTTGTTGTAGGAGATCTCCAAGGCGATACGCGTGACGACGCATTAATATCTAATTGCTGGTTGGTTGTATAAATTGATGGATAGTAGAATGTTGTTGTGTTGACGGTTGAATTTGTTCTAATTACTTGAATTTTGCTATACGTTGTTCTTTTTATACTAGCTTACCCTTTTCTGTTTCCTTGTGGTTGGACTGCTATGATCGTATTATGTACGGGAGCAGAACAGGAATAGGTGTTTTGGTTCGTGGTGAGTCGGCAGCTGGTAGGCGGAGCTGGCCCTGTTTTTTTTTTATGTCTTGTTGTAGTAGCTACTAGATGTAGCGATTGACGATGTATTTCGTTTTGATTGGATGTTTTTTATACACTCTAACTCTAGTCGGATTGAGGCTTTGTATATTTTTATATTTTAGACCCTATAATTATATACTTGCTCTTTCTACCTAGTGTTTCCGGTGTTCAGTACGTTGTGTAGGACCTGTCGGGTCGTTACAGTATTCCCACTCATTAATGTGCAATGGTAGTACAAGTAGGTTACCATTAGATATTCGTGGATGAAAGAAGACATACATTTAAGGAGAGAGGGTGAATATGTGGAAGAGACTTATACTTGAGGGAGAGTGTTAGAGTTGAAGTATAAAATGAGTTTTACATTTATTAGAGTTAAACATGTTGAATAGTATATAAGTGAGAAATATTCATACGTATGATGTCTTAAGATTTTGAGTTATGTTATGCTTTCAAACTCATTTATATATTACTTGTTCTTACCAGAAATCTGCCGTAGAGATGATCTTCCGAGTAAGATTGGTGAGCTTCATTCGCTAGTACGCTTGATGTTCCAAGATGGGGGTGGTACCTGCAAAAGAGACTCCGATGCTAAAGTTAGGGTTTGTATGAGTATGAGTCTCGTATAAGCAATGCACATACCTTAGTATGGATTAGGGTTGCGTTGGGCCTTGGGCCTGAGATCAGTTGTGATCTAATTAGATAGCGAATCTCGTCTGGACCGAGATCTCCTCAGATCAGTTATGATCTGGTAAAGTGACGAGCTGACGTTACGTAGCGCGTATCCGAGATCGTCATGCGCTGCGATGCCGAGCTGGGAGTTCGGCCTTGCAGTACGGATAGTACATTACTTAACATTTTTAATTCAATTACTTCACACTTAAATTATAACAATATTTTTTCCCAAAATTTTCACATCTCTAATCAATAGAATAAAAATGAAACAAATCATAATGTAATTACTTCCCTTAAAATGATTAATACGAGAATATTTTACAAGAATATATTTTAAATTCGCGAAACAAACACACTTTATTGCTGAACTCTCGTTTTATTCACTTACGCGACTCATTTATTGATAGAATAAATTAATAACTGATGAAGGAAGCTACAGCGTCAAATATGAAGAATATCCCTTATACCTAACGGCTAACGAAAGCGAAAGAAAACAATATTATACAAATATACAATAAATATAAATAGGTCAAATGACAATGAAAATAGAGTACAAAATAAGGATTTGGATTTTAATACCAGCTCTGATTCTCGAGGAATATAAAAAATTCACCTTCCAGCTCATCTTCCAATCCACAACAATTGACGTACTATGAACGTGTGAATTTGAAAAAGAAAATAAAAGGAAAATGAAAATAATTTATATAAAAATACGCTATATGTAAATAACACAAGAAATTTTCCCACGTTTTTTTTTCATCTCAAGCGACATCTGATTTTGATTTATTGTCTTGTCGAAACTCGTACTACTAAAGTTGTTTTTACATTATTTCAATTACATAAATGGGCTTCCACTTGGCTTAATCATAAAATTGCATTAATAAAAATAAAAATAAAAATAAAGTATCCAATTTCACAATTATTTATTTTGAATCTAAGTTGACTTCTAAAACATATGTAATATAGATTTAGACATATGTAATTATTTTTATTTTTTTTTCTTTTTTTAAAAGAAATCTCAAATCTTCCTGTCTTTATTTTTATTTTTATTAAGATTTTTTTTATTTTTTTAAAAATTCTCAAATTTTCTCTTTTTTATTTTTGTTTTTGTTGAGCTATATTCTTCTTCTTTTTAAAAATTTCAAATTTTTTCTTCTTTATTTTTATTTTTATCAAGATTTATTCTTCTTTTTTTTTTTAAATCCTAAATCTACATATTAGATAGTGCATCGAAATAGAGACATATTCATTTGTAAGTGACCGCTATAGAGATATATTAATTTTATAAGTATTCAAAATGTAAGACATGTAGATAAAGTGTCTAAACCACGTTAGTATCCACTTCAAAAAAGTGTTAAACTTGAATACAAATCTGTGCCATGCCGTATCCATATAACATAGTCTAAAACCAACTAAGGATACCGTAGCGTGAAAATTGCATCCCACCCGTTTCTATGACAAATTGATAAAAAAAAAAATTGCTGTTATTCTGAGTCATCATGGACCACCATTATTTATTTCCCCATCTTCCATGTTTCTCCTTTGAGTACTTCCTACATTCTCCATTTAATTTAAGAATACCTGTCACTGGGATATTTCATATCCCACGATGACAATTCAAAAGCTCCAATAGTGAATAATGCTTCACTTTGTTAAATACACTTTCGTCTTAAATGCGATGTTATTTGTTGATTTCACCCCTAGAAGTTTGCGTGTACAACTTAGACCACAAGGCTGTCAAAATTTATGACAACTTTAATTCCCCCGACGTAAACTTAATTGAATATGAAACTAAATTAATCATAAAATTAACAAATTCTATATTGTCATAAAATAAAATTAACATAAATAGACAAATCCCTCAGAAAACCTGACGAATTTAATGACTAAACGGTGTGCATATAATCATTGTGGGATCAAATATACACAAACTGGTATTTTTAGAATATGAAATTGTAAATTTACTTCCAGTAAAATTTATCTCATGGTTAGATGCCCATTAGCTAATTTTTTTGTAAGAGGTTTAGAAAACACTGAGCTCGTAATAAGTAGACCTTGCTGCTCAAATATCACTAACAAATATTTCTAGATTAATCATCAACAAAATTCTCACAATTCTCACATCGACAACGAGATTCAAACTCGCATATTGTGAGAATCTTTCCCGACTGAACTAACCTACATGTATATCAGCAAATTGACCACACCCAACACCAGCTATGTAAACGCCACACACAAAAATAATAACTATAACAAAGGCAAATATCCTTTAGCAGCAGGTCAAAGTACTTGTTCCTGAATTGCAAGTTCCGGGCCTAATGAAGAATTCAGAATGTGAATTCATCCACTACGTTTCCTGCTACAATTGACACCTCGAATCCAGTAGAATTGCCCTTAAAGCAAAGATTTTGTTTACATGAACACAACAGACTGCAAAGCCAAGTTAAAAACCAGCAAGCAAGCAATTTCGTTAATCATAACTACCACGTGCTTTGACATCTTCCAGTAACAGTACAGTATGTTGTGGCACCAGCAGTTTCAGTTGATGCAAAGTTGCTATGTGCCAAAATTCTAACAACACAACTACCTAATCTATCAAACAAGAGAAGCCCTTCTGTCCTTTGGTCGACCAATCAAAGGTCATCCTACCTTTAAGAAAAACCTACTATCAACAGTCATATGTATCTCATTAAAAAAAAGCACATAAATTTATGTCACTTTGCATCTTCTGATCCCTTCAGATAAGAGGATTCACCATCTGCAGCCGCAGAGCTGCCTTGGCCATCTCCACCAGCTGGCCCAGCCTCAGAAGCATCTTGCTTGCCTCCACCGCGTGCATCGTTTGCACCAGCACCTGAAGGTGGACCACCACTGTTGCCACCTCCAAGAGCAGCCTCACCGTGCATTGGATGCATGCCATTATTTATCCCTCCAGGTCTCAGTCCCATTTGACCTTGCATGGCCTGCTGGTGTAGCTGCTGCTGTTGATCCTGCATTTGATGTGGATTACCAAATTGCAATGGCATTTTCTGGGGAAACATTCCTTGCTGCTGAGCCATTGCTGCAGCCTGAGGATGTTGCATATAGAATCCAGCTTGCATAGCAGGGTGTGGTGCCATCTACAAGGAAATAAAACCAAAGTTGTGACTTGTTAGCAACTTACAAGACTTCCAAGGGACCAGCTATACCCTATTTTTACCTGTGGAGGCATGGCTGGTGTTTGTGGCTGGGCATCAGCAATTGCAGCTAAATACATCAAATTCTTTTGAAGCTGAGCTTGGTACCTAAGGCAGCAAACCAGTAACAACCATTACATAAATCTTTTGCCTAGAACGCACAAGCCCCTTAAATATTATTGCTTGGAAATAGACAAGGACTGAGATACATCATTATTCAGAAACAAAGATGATTTTAAACTATATAACTTCGTAAATTTCCAGGCAAATGTAGAGTTAGTCAGAGAGTGAATGAGCAATAAGGCCGGTTAATAGCCCAATCCATTATACACGTATGTAAAAAATTGTTAGCAATAGGGGAAAAAGAGACAATTAACTAATAATTTAACTCAAAACGACTTTCAGCATTGACAAAAACATGCAGATAAAATTTGAGGTCACTTACTGGGCACATTCTGCTAGTTTTCCAAGGTTTTGATTGTCCAATATTGCCAGAATCAGCTTCTTGTTCTCATCAAGGTACTGCATTATGTGACAAGACAGGGTTTCAAATTATATAATTTAGAGTCTTGCAGCCTATGGGTTTAACTTGTCATATCATTTAAATTGTGTAAAGTAATAATCATAAAGACTAAAAACACAAAAAAAAAAAGGTTAAATGACTTAAAACTCTATTCTAGAAATTGCCTAATTCATAAAGGAAAAATGGAAAATTTCATTTCATGACAATACATATCATCATGGATCAAGTATACCATAGAAAAAGTCCCACGTAGATCAAACCATTAGAATGATGAAATACCTGACTATTTTTCTCATGATCAGGGGCAACTCTTACACTGGTGTATGATATAAAATATGAACCTATTTGCTTCGAGAATTTTTTTTGTCATTTTTTGTTTTCACTAATAATTACAACAATGACACCTTTCTATCACATTTCCTATTTTCAAAGATTTGTGGCATTATTCAATGATTCCTGTACAAGTCTTTAAAAATATAAAACAAAATACAAACTTGACATTGTTGTAATTACTAGTAGAAAAGAGGAAACAAATATAGAAAATGTTCTTTCAAACCAAACAAATCTCGATATCCAAAAGAAATGAAAAATATAAAAGTAGAGGAAGACTGAAGAAAACTTTAGGTGAAACAATTAAAATGACCCTTACTCTCTACATGACTTTGTTAGATCCATGTAAGCAACTCACTTAATAAGATAAGGCGTTCAATTTATGAATGTGAATTTCCTGGTCTTTTCAAGGAAAGTGTAAAATATAGAGCTTACTTAAGAATAGGTGATAGAAATTTTCCAGAGAAGAAAGGAAACAAACATGAGCCTATGTAGCAAATCAAAAAGGTAACCTAAGCATCACTGGCAAAAGATTAGTTTAACAACCATCTCCTTTGCTCACTTTAAAATAAAAAAATCTCCATGTAGAATCACAAAATAGAGCCCTTTCCAAGGATTTCTCTCTCAAGTGTCTATGGAAGATGACTGTCATTGAATTAGAAAAATTGCACACAAGTCTCAAATTAATAATAGGTCCTCAAGATATGCTGCTCATCATACAACTAGCCAATCTGAATATTTAAATAAGTTTCACATTTTAAAAACTCATACAAACTATGACAAAGCCAGCCTGATAAGTACAATAGGAGATGGTCAAAGAATGGTATAAATTTATTAAGATATGCCTATAGGCCACTGACAAATAATCAACATCAAGACATAGTAGTTAGTCCCGGATTGTGGCACAGAGTAACCAACCCCAAAAATGAGATAGCATGATGACCGCTATTCTAATACTTTTATTTATTATATAGATGTGTGCGCGCGCATGTGTATGCTTAACAACTTAAGGTAATATAAAGAAAAAACAATGCATTAAAGAAAGAATCTAAAACAAAACATAGATCCTACTTTCCCATGAACATAACACACCCCAAATGATGTAAACAGAGAAACGTGTCTCAGTGTTTCACAGTGTGTAGGTTTGGCCAGAAAATCTTATTGGTGTGCCATGGGTTTGCCGGAAACTCCATCAGAATACCATGAGTTGGCTGGAAACATGGTTGGGATGTCTGAGTCAAATGGTTCATGTCAAAGAGAGAAGAGACCTGCGCCAGTTTCCCTTCAAAAGGCGTGAGTGGGAAAACAGGGTCAGATAAAATGAAAGGGGGTGAAATCCCAAGATTGCCCCACTACAACATCACCAAATGTAGGCGGAAAAAAGGAGAGATTGCCCCACTTAAACAGCACCAAATGTCGTCATTCAAGAGGACAAAAAAGGCGAGATTTCCCCACTTAAACAACACTAAATGTCATCATTCCAAGGGTGAAAAAAGGTGGGAAAAAGGGGGTTAGTATCTAAGCCAGTAGCAGCCGTTAATGGCTGCAATAATGCTACAATTCATTCTACTCCAAGCGCAACACTAAATTGCGATGGAATCATCAGAGAAAGACAGATGAGACTCCTTTGTCTATATATTCATTAGTTGTGAGTTTTCTATTTGAAATGGCCTAGGCGCTAGAAGCCTAGAACATGGCTCTTATCAAGATGGACATAATAATCAAACGATAAGCTACATGATTAAATTCGTTGCAGAATATCACAAATCCAAATTATTCTCACTTATATTGAATAAATGTCATCCCTCAACTTCCAGAACAACAAAATAATAAGACCAATGTTAACAACACACTCTCTTAACATAGTTTTTAAAATAATTATAAATAAAAAATAAAAATAAAAACTTTTTCTGCAAACTAAAATTTATTAGAAATAACAAAATTGTGAGAACCCTACTCCCTATTAGAGTAATCACAGTCACACTCTGATTTCGGGATTTGCAATAAATTTCAACCAATAATAAAAAGTGAGTTACTCGTTGCTACCAGTCCTCTACGAATGATAATAAACCCAGGAAAGACAAAGAAACCTTAAAGTAAATTCAACAATTAATGAGGAAAACAATGGGATTAAAACAGCAAAAAGCATACTTTTTGAATCTGCTCGGTGGTTATGTTTGTAGGTGGGAATGAAGGCATCATAGGAATCATTGGCGGTGTCTGCTGCATCTTCTCAGCCTCGTTAACCTCACTGAAACTAATTAAAAAGGAAAACCCAAAACCCTAATTCCCCCAAAATCACCAGAATCAACAGTTACCAAACCCAAAACCCCAAAAGAAAAATGTTACAAAAACTCAAATGAAAAGGGGAAAAGACAATAACTTTGGCAGAAGGAGAGAGAAAGAGGACCTGGGTATGGTCCGAAAGTGGGTGAGTCTGAAACACGCTGGAGAACAAGGGTTTGTCTCTGCGGAGATCCTTGTTCGATCTTCTGGGGTACTGTGCAGACGATGTTACTGGAATTTGAAGACAAAGCAACAACATAAAAACAAGGAATAGATTAAGGTAGTTTAGCAGTGTGGAAGAATAAAAAATGAAAATAAAAATAAAAATAAAAATTACCATACCAAACAAAGTGGCTAGTTGCTAGATTTGGGGGCGTGTGTGGTTCGGCTTAGGCAGTTCCAATTCCAAACTAACAAAGACAAGGCACAAGTGTTCACTATTTATAGGTCCTCGCGTTCTCCCTGTGTTGAGTTTGACTATTGGTGCTGCGTTTTGAGGCCGGTTCGGACCATTGTACTGTTGCACCACATGAATGGGATAAGCACAATGTCTTGTTATTAATTGTTTTTTGTTTTTTTTGGGGTGGATTAGAGTACTGTACTACCTCCTTATTCAAAGCCCAATTTTAACTTTGCAGAAAATTAAAGCTGGGGCTCACACTCGGGTTTCAATTCCACTCAATTAATTGGGGAGAAGTGTTTAAGTGTTTAGGTTTTTGGTGGTGGAATAGTGACTTTTATAATAGGTTACTGTCCACATGTGTACTAGTTAGGAGAATGATAAAAATAGAGCAATTAATATTTGATGAAATGGTAATCGATGGTGATCTATTATATATAATGTATGTATGTATCATAAGAAGATTTTGTCACATAGGTAAATGTCATGTCCCAATACCATATTATTTTTTCTTGCTGAATTATTTTTTATTTTTCATTTCATGGAATATATAATTATAGTAATTACATAAGGGTATATTCTGATATAAAATAAATCAAATAGTTAAAGAAATTATGATCAACATATTGTGATTATGATATAATAACTAGTAACCGTATCCGTGTTATAGTAAATAATAATATAATTAAATTTTAAATATATTTTTAGTGTTTATAAAATAAGTGAGTTTCATTTATAGTTTTTGAATTTTTTTTTAATTTATAAATATTTTTTATTTTTTTTAATATAATTAAGCTTTAAATATATTTTTAGTCTCTAGAAAATAAGTGAGTTTCAATTTTGTAAGAACTACACCCACAAGTAGTGTTTTAAAAACAGGATCGAACTAGCCGGTCGGACCAGTTGGACCGGGAACCGGTGGTCCAGGTTGCTTGACTAAATTGCCAATTTCACTAATTCTTGTTGTGTTGACCTTGTGTGACTTTAGTATTTTTGTATTATGGGCACCAAATTAAGTGAAAGATACGATTCCCTTGTCTTTTTTTTAATGAAATTTGAAGCTTGCATCCTAGTTATGTTATTGATTTGCTTCAAGATTTATGTGATGGAAAAGATGTTATACTTTAAGTGGTTTCGAGTTTTTAAGTTAGATGACTTTTGCTTGAGGGCAAGCAAAGTTTTAATTTTGAGGGAATTGTTAGTTGTCAATTTTACTCGAATTTCATGAATATTATTGTGTAAAATGACATGCTTTCATTTTTTTTCTTAAAAATTGCCTAAAGATGTGAATATTATATATAGATATGTAAATTATGTTATAGAAATTCAACCCAATCAAATTATAGTAATTTTTTATTAATTATGGAGGTTTTGCTTTGTAGGTTAAGAGAAGAGAAATCAAGACAAAGAAAAGAATTGAAGTTTAAAAAGATTCATGGAAGAAAATATGTTTATATGTATTAACTCAACAAGGCTTAAGCCATATTATAAGGGCTTAAGCCATTTTAGAAAAATTTAAGATTACAATCTGCCAAAAAAAGGCTTAAGCCATTTTACTTTCTTCATGGTGAAGTATTTAGAAAAGGCTTAAGCCATTCAGAAATAGCTTAAGCCAATTTGTAGTAGTAAATAATCCATTGTTACAAATCATAACATATAAAAGGGAGGAAAGAATGAGACGGAGGAGCTTTTTGGAGACTAACACACCTCACCCATCATTCTCTCTCTCTAGCCTCAATGACCATCCAAGTTGAAGATTTTGGTGGTGATTCCAATGTTTCGGGAACGGAATGACGACAATTTCTACTAAATTCTTCTCATTCTCTTCTTTTGTTGGTTGGTTCTCATGGAAATGCGTAGCTAATATTTTCTTTTTTGGATTGGATGTAATCTGATGCAACTTAATGTAACTCTTGATTTTCACATATATGTTATTGTCTCTTCTACTTATTAGTGATTCATTTTTGTTCTTAATGTCTTTATGTTTTGATCACTTGTATTTGAAACTTTGATTTAGAACTTGATTGGAAAATGATTTTTAGATTATGATTTAAAATGAATCACCTAATGGTTTAAATTGCTATGAATAGAGCTAAAATCATTAGTCTTTAAAGGATCTTCTTAATGCAGGTTTTCTTTTATTTAAATATGCAAGGAATTGATATTTAAGGGGGAAAACTTAGAATCTCTTTACTAAGGAATTAGTATTGAGTGATTGTAATCGTAGACAATATTGTAGGAGAGAAATTAACATATATATGCTTATTAAGATTACAAAAGGTGTAGAAGGTGAAATCCAATCCAAAGCATCTCATATATGAGTTTATCTAATACTTATTTGCAAATTTTTCACTTGTTTTAAGTTTTATTAATTTTAACTGAGTTTAAAGAATCAAACGTTGAACATGTGTGAATATGTTATGTATATTTATTTTTTTTCTTTTCTAAATTAATTGAGAATCAATCAATCAACCTAGTCCCTGAGGAGACGACATTACTCATCACTGTTACAAGTTGTCTCTAGTACGCTTGCCAAGGGATCAACAATTAGTTGAGGTGTTTGCATATAATGTATGTTGTGGTATATTCATATGCATTGATGAATGTCTTGGCTGATATAGTATGGATGAGATACATGTATGTTTTGCTATGATGTTGTATGTTATAAAATCGTTTTCTATACTTGCATGTTTTTTGAACTCTAGCTTACATTTTTGTTTCCATTGTGGTTTGAACTATAATAAGCATACATTGTAAGGAAGTAGATCACAACTAGGCTTTAGAAGCGGTTGCTAGCAGGTGGTGTGATCTTTTTCTAATGTCGGTGCGACTATGGTAGCTTGTATAGTTGTACTCGATCGACACTAGGATATACCATTTATTTTGGGATTATTACATATAAGCTTATATAACTTCACTATATTAGTTTATATGTTTAACATTATAGTTATGTTATACATGTATACATGTACATATTCCTTCTATGAATTGGTATATCACTAGTAATTTAGTTTCACTGCTAGTAGTAGTGATTTTGTATAGTGTAGTGGTCATTACGAGATGTTACAATACCTATGACTAGTGACAGATCTAGAAACTTTAGATAATGTGGGCAATACTTATTCATATATTTGTAATATTAAAAATTTTACATATAACATTTAAAAGTATAAATATACATATATAAATATATAATAATTATTTTTTACAAGTTTTTATATCTATGATTACGATTAAGGATGAAAATAAACTAAGTCAGACTATGTTATATTATAATTTAATAAATTTGAACCTAACTTTCTTTAAAAATACATATCTTAAATATGACTTATTTATGTGTCATAGACATTTTTTAAATGTTTGGTTAGAACTATAATCTTAAAAACCTACTTTATAATAATTTAACACTAATAAAAACATAAAAATAAATATGTTAAATTTTATAAAAAAAATCAAGTTTAATTTATTTATGATACAAACATGTTTTTAATATTTGATATAAAATTTTAAAATGAGAATTTATTTTAAAACATATTTTATAATAAAAATTCTAAACATAATATAAATCTTCCAATCTTTCATATTTTGATTTTTTTAATCAATGTATATAATCTTATAATCTTTACTATTTTGACATTTTTAATCAATGTATACAATAAATAAAAAATATAAAAGGTATGTAACGACCAGCCACAGCCGTCACACTACGAAACAACACTACACACTACTGGAATATATATACTAAAATAGTATAATAAAATATTTACAACACAAGTTGCTAACAAGCAACCAACAACAACCAGTTATATACAAAAAAATATGTTACTATAAGGTAGCCTACAAAAAAAATATCCATCACCAGGCACCTCCAGTGGCCTCTAGCAGCTATCTCCCAGTCTATTCTTGCCCTGCTCCCATACAACGTATGATCATCGCAATCAAAATCACATGGAAACATGCAAGGGTAAGCTAGACACAATAAACAACACATAATAATTTAATATGCAACATAACAACTATATAATCATCTTCGCATCCGACACATGAGACAAACAACATATATACTATACATCTTAACATCATTTCAACTTGATTCCACATATCAACACTTCAACACAACTACTTTACAAACCATTGGAATAGTTACCATACTCATCATAACAACAACCAACACACGTATTAAAAGCAACTTACAATGCAATAGCACTATCATCGTCCTCAACAAGGTCAACATACAACACAATCACAGCTTAACAATACAACAACGTATGTACAACTCATATCAACAAAAAATCAACTCATTAACAACTTATGCGTCGTCACGCATTTTAACTCGGAGATCTCCTACAACATGGTGAGTAGTCTAAGTGGCTACGTTCTACCGAACCGACAACACATAACCTTTTTGGGCTTGCTAGGTAAACAACAGTTTCATTTATAGTTTTTGAATTTTTTTTTAATTTATAAATATTTTTTATTTTTTTTAATATAATTAAGCTTTAAATATATTTTTAGTCTCTAGAAAATAAGTGAGTTTCAATTTTGTAAGAACTACACCCACAAGTAGTGTTTTAAAAACAGGATCGAACTAGCCGGTCGGACCAGTTGGACCGGGAACCGGTGGTCCAGCCGGTCCGAATCTTAAGTTAGATCGGTTATACAATCGACCCGTTTCAAAACGGATTGGACCGGTCAATTTTCCGGTTCAACCGGTGAACTGGTAGGTCAAACCGGTTCAACCACACTTTTTTTTAAGGGACTATAAACCACAAAAATAATAATGAAAATTAAATCTCTTAATGGAAGAGCAAAGAGTCTTATTAAATATAACAATGACTACTTGTTCTAATGTATTTGTTTTTTTTTTTAGGGAAATGTATTTGTTTGTAATATATATAACTTAAATAACTTTTATAGTATATTATTAATTTTAAATTATATATTTAATAATATAATATCTATGTAGATATTACATATATTATTTTGTGATATCAATTGTAAACATATTATATTTTTAATTTGTATTAATATACGGTTTAACATGTAATTTTTTTTATATATTTTTTTAAAAATAAAAATAAAAATAATTTTAAATACAATATAAAAATTGAAATTTAAAA